GCCTAGCCCCCGCCCTCAGTTTCCCCCAAGCTCTCCAGCCCCCCTGCCTGCTCACCCTGCATCCTGCTGCCCCCAGTGAGACCCCCGCCCCCCAGCCTCCGCTTCCTCCCATCAGCCTCCAGCCCTGGGCCTCAGTGCCTCAGTTTCCCCAACGAGCCCTCCTGCCTGTGCCTCAGTTTTCCAGAGCTGTCCCCCCCCCCACAGCCTGTTTCCCACCATGCCCCAGCTCCCCCGTGTCTCAGGTCCCCCCACAAACCCTCAAGGCCTTGTGCCTCAGTTTCCCCTGAACCCTCCAGCCCCCCTGGCCTGCTCACCTCTGAGCCCTGGGGCCCCTGCGCCTGCTGCCCCCAGTGAGACCCCAGCTCCCCGAGCCTCCATTCCTCAGTTCCCCCAACAAGCCCTCCAGCCCATGCCTCAGTTTCCCAGAGGCGGTCATCCCTGAGCCCACCATGCCCCAGCTCCCCCCATCTCAGGTCCCCCCCACCCTGTGAGCCCTCAAGTTTCCTGAAGAGCCTTTCAGCCCTGAAGCCTGTTTCCCACCATGCCCGTGGCCCCCACAGCCCCCGCTCTGTGCCCCTGCCTGTTTCCTCCATGCCTCAAATTCCCCCAAACCTTCCAGCCTCTGTTCCTCCCTCACCCCGCTCGTGTCCCGCTGCCCCCCCTTGCTACAGCACTGGGGTCAGGAGTGAGGGGCACCCGCAGGGCCGGGGCCAGGGGGTGGGAGGAGGCTGTGGGTAGGGAATGAGGGGCACCGGGGGGCTGAGGCTGTTTCTCTTGTGCCTGGGAACCGAGGGGGGTTGGGGCAGGGTGGGGCCAGACCCCGTCCTCCCAGAGGAAGGTGTGGAGGGGCCCGGGGGAGCTTTGTGCCGAGACTGGAGCCGAGTCCCACCCGTAGCAGCGGGCTCTGGGCAGGGGTAGTGGGTGTGTGTGGGGGGGTCTGTCTGGCTGTGAGGCAGCGGGAGTGCCATGGGAGGGGCTGTTGGGCCATCTCAGGACGCTGCAGGAAGGGGCTGGGGCTGGCGCTGGCCCACACACCAGCCAGTCCCCTACCTCTCAGCCTTGGCCCAGGACCAGTGCTCCTGAGCTACTTCCCCAGCCCAGGAGGAGCCTTTCCCTGACCCATAGGCATGTAGCGCTGCTTGTTAACACCAGAGTGGGGCGCAAATGGGGCCCATTACGGCCCCCGTCCCAGGGGGGCAGAGGGTTGTGACTGGGTGGGGGCTGCAGCAGGCTCCGAGGGGGCAAGGGAAACAGCTCCCACACCAGCTAGACAGGGCAGTGCCTGCACAGTGGATGGTTGTATCGCAGGCAGCCGCTCTCCCAGGTCAGGCCCTGCCAGCCTGCTTACCCCTTGGTGGATGCAGTTGGGAGGGTGGGTGGGCTCCAGATCAGGACCCTCCCTTCCTGTGCCAGATGGGCTGCTCTGCTCAGCTGCACGGGGCTCTGGCCCCAGTGGGGGTCAGCTGGACCCTTCTTTACAGGGAAACCTGTTCTTCTTTTGTCCCATCACAGTGCTGAATGTGTGAGGTCTCAGGACATGCGCAGGGCTGTGTCAGAGGCGGCCAAGGAGCAGGCAGGTCACCCACGGAGCTCCTGGGCTGTGTCCCTCGCCAGAGGAAGAGCACCTGTTCCTATGGGCTGTGGATCCTACAGGCCTTGGCGACATGCAGGGGGTGCGCGTGGGTGCACATGCACCCCCTGAGATTGGCTACCAGTGGTGCCTGCAGGCGGTTGTTGCTCGCAACCCCTCGCCGCCAACGCCGCCGGCGGCATCTGAGGATGGTCATTGATCGCTGACCAGCGTTCACGGCCGACACCGCTGCAGCTGCCCATGGGAGCTTCCCGTTCACCGCTGCCATGCCCCCACCTGCGGGCGGTCACCATGCCCCGCCAGCCTCGGGAGGCATGCGACTTTCATGGGTCCAGGTATTGGTGGCTCCTACCTTCCTCAACCAGTCTTTGTCACCCATCCTGAAAGTCACCCAGACCCTGTTGTGGGTCTGCACTCCCTCTGGGCTCAAGGCCTGGAGGCTAGCGGTTATCCCGGTTACAGAGGGGAGCGTGACTAGGACCCCCGTGGGCAGCAGAAGGTTTTCTGGCATGGTGAAGGTGCCTCTGTTTCTAGAGCTAACCTCACACAAGGGAGCAATGCAGCCAGCGTCCCTTTCAGCCTCACTAGCTGGCTTGGCTTGGCTCCTGGTGCCATGATCTGGGTGGAGTGAGAGCAGCCTCGGGGAGCCAGGCTTTGCACTCAAGTTTTCTGGAGACCTGGAGGTGATCGGCTACCAGGCTCCCCTCTCAGGAAGGAGCCATTAGAAGTCCAGACCCTTTGACCACCCCACCCCCATATCCACTTAGGCACTCACCAGCCTACTCAAGCCTTTGGAAAAGCACCAGGTCAGAGGCACCTTCACAACATGTCGCACCCACTCCATAAAGAGAGTGAACTTCACCTTAGACCGGTCTAGCAGTACAAAGACCAGGGGATAAGCTGCTAAGACCATTGGAGAAGGGCTGACAGGAAAGACCATGCTGCATGATGGGGAATTAATGTCTCAGAGCAGTCAAGACAGGACACTTTGAGATCACGGGGTCACAACAGGCCTGTCAAGTCCTGCAGATTTCAGGCCCCAGAGCCTGCTCACATGCTTTCCACCCTCCTCCTGCACCAGAACCTCATTCCTTTGGCCTCCCTGCTGCTTCAGCCCAGCAGCTGGGGGGAGATAAGCAACGCTTATGGGTGAATGGCTTCTTTTCCCCATGGTTGGGAACAGCCACAGATCCTAAACCCTGGCAATCCAAAAGGGGAAGTGGTTGGGAAAGCCCAGAGGCCTCTGGGACTGGAGGGGCTCTGGCCTCTGGTCCTTTCACAAGTCTGGGAGGAGGTAGAGATCAGCCACAATGATCCCATGCTCAGCTCTAGGCCCTGTTACAAGACCAGCTGCGATGGGCAACAAAAGGAGGTGGGAAGCAGCAGGTGGCTGCCTTGGCAGAGCCGAAGAACAAAATCTGTGGGATTGGGCTCAGGGGAAGACAGTGGCTTGCAAATATCCAGCGGTATAAGCCCGTCTGGTAGATGGGTTGTGTGTGAGCAAGGAAAGGTGGGGTGCAGGGTGGAATCCAGGCCTGGCGGGTCCTGCAGTGCCTCCTAAGGGACTGGGGAATGGTGAATTTCTTTCCACACTGAGCTCAGGGGCAAGGTCACTGCCCAAGTGCAGTCACTGTTGGGTGAGGAGGGTGTCTGTCCTCAGAGCCCATACCCCCAGTCTGGGCATAGTTACAGCCACTCCTGTGTGGATGCACTAGTGCTGGGCCAGGTGCCCAGAGCCCTTCTGCCGTCAGTGCAGCAGTGAAGTCCCTCCCCAGGAGTTAACACTTTGGTGCCAAAACAGGTGGGAGGAGCGGTTGAAGCTCTTTCCACAGTCAGAGCAGTGATGTGGCTTCTTCCTCGCTATAAAAGGGTTAATCTCCAGGGGTGGCTGTGATGCTCCTGGAGCCCCTTCTGCCCCCCTCAACCTTACTCTCTTTGTGCACGCTCCATTTTCCTTGCCTGCCATGCCTTGATGAAATGAAACCTCCAGGAAAGGGAGGCTGCCCCAGGGCTTCTCAAGTCAGATCTCCCCATGAGTGCCAGTGTTGCTGCTCATTCCCTTAAGGGCTAATTAAATGGGCTCTGTCCTCCCCTAATGCCCACATCCATGCCTTGCAGATGTTATCAATCACTCAAATGCTCAGGCCTGCCTCATCTGCCCCATCGTGGGCTCAGGCTACTATCTCTGTCTGGGCTGCAGGACTCTGACCCTGTTGGTCTCTGGCTATGGCCCTCCCAGCCTTTGCTCCATCTCCATAGACCCTGGTCCCACTCCTAGGCCAGTTGAGACCCATGGGCTCTCCCACCCCACCATTTTCCAACTGTGGCCCTTCTTGGCCTTTGGCCCTTCCTGAGCCATGGCTCCACTCCTGGGCTACTGAGACCTATAGACCTAGACCTCACCTGCTCACTCTCAGGGCCCTCTAAACCCCTGCTCTCTCTTGGAGCTCTCTGGCCCCTCTCTCCCTGGGCCAAGAGGGACCTCTTTACCTCTCCATAGTCCCTTCCACAAGCTGCCAGATACTCACCAGCCCTCAGACTGCCTTCTCTCTGTTCCACCAGCCCTAAGGCTGTGCTCCCAGCCCTATGGCTGCATACCTCCAGGAGTGGGTAAGGGTCCCTCCCTTGGCAGTCTGCTCCAGAGTTCCTTTCCTAGCAGCTACCAGGATAAGACTGCCCAGCTCAACTCAGTCCCTGGGCTTATATCCTCCCTAAGCCCTACCCCTCCCTGCTCAATTGATTCCCCTGATTGCCACCCGAGTTTTCCCTGGAGCCTCTTCCTCTCTTACAGTGATAGGTGTGCTAAGCACCCTGTCACAGACATGGGGATGACTTGGTGCATCTGCAGCAGTGAGGCCACTCTCCAGAGGGGACGGGCCAAGTGGGAGGCTCTGGGGAAACACATCCCACACAATACAGCCATATAGGTTCTCCCTTACACACGTGCACTGGGGCTGGGCCAAGTGCCTTTGCCTCACAAAGCTCTTCCCACACTGACTGCAGACAGGAGGTTTCTCCCCTGAGTGGTAGAGTTCCCAGGCATGCCAGCCCCAGGTGTGAAGGGGAAGTGCAGGGTGCCATGCTAGTGCTCCCTTGGATCCATGTTTACAGTGCTTCGTTCCCAGCTCAGAACTCATCTGACGGGGGAGAACTCTGGTGCTTTAGCTCCATCTGGGTGAGATACACAATGAACAAAAAAAATAATAAATAAAACCAATCTGAGATTATTTATCAGAATATCAAAACCAGCCATCTAGAAATACTGAGCATAGGCTGGAGGGAAATTTGGAGAATGCAGGAAATTCAGGAAGACCAACTGCCAATCTGTGCGCCACCCTCCTTACACCTCTCAAGTCTCCCCAACCGGTATAAGTGAAAACTATGTTGTGCTGTTGCAGATAGCCAGATAAACTTTGGAATAAATGTTTTCATGTTTTAGGGTGCAAGCAAATAAAAGGTTGGATGGTAGACCTGTTTCTGACTGGTATCAGTAGCCTATGCACAAGGTTACCTGTAATCTGGGTAACAGTGCTTAACAGGTAGACAATCCTGCATTGCTGCCAGAATTATGGATGCTCCCAAGTGTGGATACGCTGGTGCCAGGCCAGGTTGGAGGAGTCAGTGAAGTTCTTCCCACAATCAGAGCACTGATGTGGCTTCTGCCCTGTGTGGATGAGCTGATGCCGGGCTAGGTTGGAGGAGTGGGTGAAGCTCTTCCCACACACAGTGCACTGATGTGGCTTTTCCCCCGTGTGGATGGGCTGGTGCTGAGCCAGGTGGGAGAGTTGGGTGAAGCTCTTCCCACACACAGGGCACAGATGTGGCTTGTCCCCTGTGTGGATGAGCTGGTGCCAGGCCAGATCAAAGGAGCAAGTGAAGCTCTTCTCACAATCTGAACACTGGTGTGGCTTCTCCCCTGTGTGAATACACTGGTGCTGAGCCAGGTGGGAGGAACAGGTGAAGCTCTTCCCACACATGGAGCATTGATGTGGCTTCTCCCCAGTGTGGATGCACTGGTGCTGGACCAGGTTGTAGGAGTGGGTGAAGCTCTTCCCACACTGAGAGCACCCATGTGGCTTCTCCCCTGTGTGGATGACCCAGTGCTTGGCCAGGTTGGAGGAGCTGGCGAAGCTCTTACCACACTCAGAGCACTGATGTGGCTTCTCCCTTGTGTGCATGCACCTATGCCTGCCCAGGATGGAGGGCTGCCTGAAGCTCTTTTCACACTTGGTGCCATGATGTGGCTGCTCCCCACTCTGCACACACTGGTGCTGAGACAGGTCTTGCCAGCAGATTAAGTTCTTCCCACACTTGGTGCATACATGGGGCTTCTCCCCAGCATGTCTTATCTCACACAAAGCCAGGAGTGAGGGGCAGTTAAAGGTTTTCCTGACCTCAGGGCAGGGGTGGGCTCTGCCCCTGTGCTTGATGGCAAGTTTCTGCTTCCCTCTGATGCTCTCCTCACTGCCTTCATTTGGATGCAGGGCCTCTTTCCAGGGGCTCTTCAGTTCTCTCAGCTCCACAACTACTTCTCTGCACCCAGGGCTCTGTTTGGGCTCTGTCTCTTCTCCGCTCTCATGCTCAACTGGAGATGGTACCTGGTTCACTGCTAGGTTCTCCTTCTGTTTTTGTGGCCTCCCCTGATCCTTGTGCCATTGCTCCTTCTCAGGTCTCAGGGTACTCAAACTCCCTGGGGAAGTCCGTGGTGGCTCCAGGTCTGCAGACCCTTCCACAGGAGTCTGCTCCTCAGCTCTGCTCAGCATCCAGGCACCTCCTGCGTGGGGAAGAGAAACTCTAGATTAGTCCCTGCCCCGCTGGCAAAGGGCAAACACTGCTATTCCTTCTCCTGGGATGAGCCTCGGAGCAGGCCTGGACCTTGGCACTTGTGTTCTTTCAAGAAAACAAGGTCTTCCTGCCAAAACCCCCAGTGCTGGGGGTGAGGGAGGGGAGGCCCTTGTGCTGCACTAATGTTCCCTTCTCGATGGAGTTCAGAGCTGGACTCTCAGGGTTTCTGGCCCAGCTGTCAGCCCCATCACTTCAAACCCTGCTGGGAGAAGCCCACGTGGGACATGTGCATTAGGACACTACTAAATGGCTTCATGCTCTAACAGGCTAAGAAGAAGACCAAAAGCATCTGCTGAAAGGAAGAGTGAGGCTCTCTCACAGCTGCTCTATCCCACAGCCCTGGTGGATCCAGGGCGAGATGACATGGACTCCACCTGACTGATCTGACACGTTTGAAAAGTCAAAAAGTGCATTGCTGAGACCACTCAGGCTGCTGCTCTCCAGTGCTTGCCCCTGATCTCTGGGGGTCCCGAGAGCAACATCTGGGTACAAGGCTGAACAGCCTCAGGGTGTATTTTTGAGGTTTGTCAGTTGTCTGGGGGGGTGTGGGGATCACGGCCTTACACTGGATCACCTGCTTCTGTGGTACACACAAGTGCTGCTTCTGCTTGGTAGAAAATGCCAACATTTTCCATCCCTCATCCCTCCAAGAACTGTTCTGGGAAGGGAGGATTCAGAGCTAAGGCTCTATCATGACAGGAGCAGGGCTGTGCTTCCTGCCTGCTTCCAGAGACAGATCTGGTGTGAGGAATGAGCCCGTGGAGCTTGCTGCTGCCGATGAGTCCCAGGTGGCCAGCATGTCACAGGAATCTGCCATGACAAAGGCAGATTCCTGTTTGGGTTCATGCCATGACAAAGGCCATGGCATGAACCCAAACCTGGACTCGGTGCTGAGTCCCAGGTTTTGTGACACTCAGGGCCCCAGAGATGAAACAGGAAGGGGAAAATAATTGTACAAACCATGGGGGAGTCACTTTTCCACGCAACATGAAAGCTTAACCCACCCATGCCATCGAACCATTTAATACAGCCTGAAACTATGATGAAGCACCAAGTGTGATCTAGGGAAGTCAGGGAAAGCTTCAGCTTCTCTCTTGTCCAACAGGAATGGCTACACAGAACTTCTGCTAACCAGGCTGATTTCCATGGGGGACTACACATCCCAGCATGCCCTGGGAGAGGGTGTTAGAGAGGCATGGCTACCTTGGGTTGGGGAATGAACTCTTATATTGTTGAGTGAACATGAAAATTTAAGATCATGGTATCCCAGGGAAAACAGATCCAGGCCTACAAATCAAGACAGCAACCTGATTGTCCTCTAGCAGCTGTAATTAGGGGAAGAAGAAGGGAACAGTTGCTTGACTCCACATCGTTGAATTTCAGACAGTGGGAACAACATGCCCAGACACATTGCAGCATAATGTACTACATTTGAGGTCAGCACCTTGCAATGGCAGCACAGGGCAGGTCTGCAGTTTCCAGGTCTCCCTGGCACGCTGGGCATGGAGCATTTCTGAGAGAGGAGTCAGGTGAAGGGGACAGCCACAGCTCACCTGGCAGCAGGTCCTCCAACCTTGAGATTTCCTCATCATCCCCATCATCACAGACCCAGAGCTCCACCTGTCCTTGCTGGATGGAGCAGATTAAGTCAGGTGTGAGACCTCGATATCCTGTTTGGGGCAGTGGTTAAAGAGGGTTTGTGACTTGGTACTGAATGCAGAATAACTAACTGGGGTTTGGGGACTGGATCCAATGAACTCAAGGTTTCCATTAGGGCCTTGATGGGCATTTAGGAAAAAGAAGGCACTACAGGGAGAAGCCTTCAACAGGTGATGGGTCTTGTCACCCAGTAGCAGAGGGATGGGTCATAGGAAACAAAGCACCAACAACACCCTGGTATAAAAAGAGTATCAAACTGACAGAGTGACCAGAGACAGGCGTGGAGATGCAGTGATCTGTGATGTACTAGAGAGAAGAAAGATAAAGCTTTTATGGTTTTCAAGGTACCAAAATGAAGAGACATTGGACACACTTATGGATGGAAAACATTTATCTTATCAGTGTAATTCCAGGCAAATGGGTGGAAATGAGCTTATTTTCAGTATGGTGGGCTTACCAGTGGCAGTCCCGTGCTCCAGCTTTGAGGAGGCTCAAAGCAATTGGTGGACCAGAGAGCACAGCGATGGTGCATGGATCGGTGCACAGAGGGTCCAGGAGCAGACTGAGACCCCAGAGCTTCACGCAGCAGCTTGGATCTCCAACCCCGGCACAAAACTGGGCACCCGGTGCACAGGGCAGTGCACAGAGGGTCTGGGAGTGGACCGAGACCCTGGAGCTCTACGTGGCAGCTTGGGTCTCCAACCCCAGCACTAGGCCGGGCACCCGGTGCACAGATTGGTACAAGGAGGGTCCAGGAGTGGACCAAGACCCTGAAGCTGCATGTGGCGGCTTGGGTCTCCAATCCTGGCATGACACCAGGCACGCGGTGTAAAGGGAGGGTCTGGGAGTGGACCGATACCCTGGGTGCTGCGCCAGGCAGCACGGGTCTCCAACCCTTCTCCCCATTGCATGAGGCAGGGGCTAGCGGTGCATAGACAGTGCACAGGGTAAGAGGGGCCACCGGTGCATGAGACAGTGCACATGGCCAAGAGAGGGCCAAAGACGGGGAGAGCCCTGAGCAGCTGAGGACCCCTGTTGAGGGAGGAGGGGGTCCTCATCAGGCCAAGGAGCGTTTGAGTTCCCAGGGAAAGGGATTCCCATAGGGGAGGAGGGCCCTCCTATTTGGTGGCAAACAGCTGGGAGGAGACCCCTAAGGGAAAGAAGGGTCTCGGGTTGCTGGGTTAATTGAGTGGGTCGAGGGGTGCAGCTGGGATATCAGGGCTCCCATTCCCCCCATCTGGGGCTGTCCTTCCCCAAGGCACTGACATTGCTTCAACACAGCTTATTGCCTTGTCCATTCTCCCCTAGACTCTGCGCCTCATATTTTGTGAACTCGGTGTGCGGGCCGGCTCCCGATCCCATGTGCGAGCCGGGCCCATCTTTGTGCACGCAGGCTGTGGCCAGCAGCCCGGGCACGCAGGGCCGGAGAAAACCGCGGGGCGGTAAGGTACGCGCGAGCTAGAATCCGTTACGGAGGCGTAGTGGTTGATTGAAAAGATTATTTACTTACACCCAAGGTGGTCGCGGTGTAGACTGGACAGCTTTCCAGGCGCAGCTCCGCTTGAATCCTCGTTGGAGGACTCTGACAAACTCGGTTCTTTGACCCCGGAGTGGTTTAGGCTCCGCGGGTTCGGCAATTCTTTCCTCACGGAGTGGCTGAATCCGTTGCCTGCTTAAGAAAGGTGAGTTGGGTCCGCAAGGGTCCACATTGCTTGGAGATCTTCACACAGCGCGAAGTCTCCTCCTCCTGGTAGTCATGGAGTCCTCCAACTTGGGCGGAAACCACACAAGCCTTTTGTACGGCTAGGAAGCCAATAGCTAGCCGCCACGTGTGCATAATTTAGATCTGGCCAATAATGTGGCGCAAATCTAAATACAAATGGTGGGAACTCCTTTGCACCGTGCATCACCATGATGCAAAAGAAATGCACCATGCAAAGAAGGCTATAAACGGCGGGAAATACATTTTTGCACGCGGGTTCTCCTATTGCAGCAGAAAACTCCACCGTGCAAAGGAGCTGCAATTTAGCGGGAACATAATTTAGCGGTGCCGAAGCACACACGAACAAAAAACCACAACTTTGGGTTGTGACACTCGGCACCTCATATTATGTGAACCTTGCATCATATGCTTAGTGAACTTTGCGCCTTATTAGAGTATAAGACTTCATAACATTTAATGAGCTCCCCCCCCCATTTTGACTACCTGACCCCTCACCTGTGTATAGTGTTTGTATAGATATACACCATATATTGTCCATAGTTCTTGTATTATGTGTATATATATGTTAATATTATATCTTTTATATCTTATTAAATTTGTATGTAGTTAAGTTTAATCATGTTGTCCTGGCCTTGCTCTTTAGGGAGAGGAGGGAAGCTGCGCACAGCAAGCAGTTTCACCTCCCACCGCGCACCAGCACCTGCTGCCATCCTTTCATTTGAAGAGAGGGTACTTATACAATTAGAGAAGGTTTCACCAATTAATGAAGGTTTTAGAGCAAGGACTCTGGCAGCAAAAAGCCTCGGTGACAGGTGGCTGACAATTACATTTTTTTCTGGGAGAGAGGGTAATTCATCCTCACCAGGACACAGGAAAGAATAATTTTGCAATAACTGTAGTTAAAATTGAGGCAATTATCCCATCCAATGGGAGGATTATCCCGGGAGGGGAGATGAGTGCACAGGCTGGCAAATACTGCAGGGTTTAAAACAAAGTTTTAGGAGCCATGGATATGGACAAACAAAGGCAGAAGGGACACAATTTCACAACCTGTGAATGGCCATAATGTAGAAATGGTCTATATGGTCTTTGTTGAGCTAGAGAAAGCATTTGAGCACTTCCCTAAGGAAGTCCTCAGGGGCGATTGGAGGGAAAGAAAGCATCAGAAAAGCAAACTGACCTAGGAAAAGATAAGTACCTCAACCCTGTGCACAAGTCACAACCAGCTCCTGTGTTCGAGAGCCTCTGGAAATGAAAACTGGTTTTCACTAATCCCTACACCTAGTCCACTTCTTTTTAATCACACTGATGGGTGTCTGGTTTGCAGACGGATTTAAGAAGGACAAGAAAACGTCTGAGAATGGCAGAATGAGCTCGAGAGAACAGGTCTTAAAGTAAATACAGCAAAACCAGAGTTTCTGGTTATGGAGATGAAGATGTTAGGAAGGAATATGGACATCAACTTCCAGTGAGCCCTTGGTAGAAGTACCTGGGTTACATCACGTGTACATGTATTACAAGAGGAGGAGAGGAAATGTATCATCCACATGTTGTAGCAGCAGAGGCTGATAAGACTTCCGTTATCTTCTACTGGGTCATAGCCAAAAGAGGAGAAAGGGGATTTGATAGCACAGAACCGAGCATGCTGGGATTGCTAAATGTGTTTGGACAGGACACGCTAGGCAAGAGGGAGGAAATCAGAATAATTCCCCAAGGAAGAGCTGTTGGTAAATGTATGCAGAATGAACTGGAGATGATATGACTGTGCTGAGAGAGCAAAGGGAGATCATGTTGCCAAGGAACTGCTGAATATGGAAGCACCAGGAGTTACAAGAATGGGGAAGACCCAAGCCAAGGCACCTGGATCAAATAAAGGAGGACATATAAATATGAAATGGGAGAGAGGCCTTATCACCAGGGATCTGGGTTTTCTGTTTCCCGCAGCAAAGCACAGATTTTCTGCTTTAAAACACCAGAGCTTTACCCAGGGAAACGAGGGCTTGGTAATTCCTCAGCATCTGGTCCTGGTAAAGCACCTTGTCTTCATCTTCCAGCAGCTCCCACTCCTTCCGTGAGAAATACACGGCCACGTCCTCAAACACCTCTGGGAGCTGCAGTCACAAGCATTACACCTTCAGTGTCCACCTGCTTTCAGCCCCCACAGCCCTGTCAGGAATCACTCTGTGCTACAATTATTTGCAGCTTAGCCGTGACAGGCAGGGGTGCAACATTCCCCATTTGTCAGCTGACCTGTGCTGTGGATGCAGCTGTGGACACAGGAGTTCACGTGTCAGCCTTAGCCCAGCTCAGCACATTCGATTCATTCAACCTTTTGAGGTAGCCCAGGCAGCACTTTTAGAGGCAAGGACTTTCCCCTGGTTATCTGCACTTGGGAGGAAGCTCCAGCTAATGCAACTTGGTGTGTTTGCAGCTCCATCACCACAGGCTTGTCTCTCTTCAGGACTCTCCACTCCCCAGATTCCTTACTGCACCCCTGGCTCCTCCCGGGCTCTGCCCCAGCTCTACACCCACCCACGACTCAACCGGGTGCCCTGCTCACCTCCCAGCTCTCCTCCTGCTCTGGAGGCCTGCCCTGCCCCCTCTGCACTTGGCCCGGCTCAGGTGTCAGGGAGCTCCTCTCCTCCGGTCTCCCTGGGGAAGTCCTCTGCAGCTTCAGGTTCCCAGGCACCACCTCAGGAGGCTGCTGCTCCGCTCTGCTCAGGGTGCCAGCACCTGCGGGTGGGGAAGAGAGTGCACAGGTTAGCCCTGGTGCTGCTGGCATGGGGGAAGCCCTGCTCGTCTCCTGGACTGGGACGAAGCATGATGGAGGCTTCAGTGTGTGAAAGAAGGGGGAGAAAGAAGATTCAAAGTCACACAGCTCTTGCTAACAGACCTCCACGGGCATGAGGCTGGAGATGAGCCCCAG